CCCAAGTACAGTCATCCCTCCCCATTAAACGCTATATGGCTCTGTTAAATCAAATTAGGAAGAGAGCGGTGTTTAAGAATCCGCCTGCCAATGCAGGGGACACGGGTTCAAGCCCTGGTCTGGGAAGATCCCACATGCCACGGAGCAACTAAGCCCGAGCGCCGCAACTACTGAGCCCATGCTCTAGAGCCCGCAAGACACAACTACTGAACAAGAGAAGCCACTGCAATGAGAAGCCGGGGCACCGCAATGAAGAGTAGCCCCTGCTCGCCGCAACTAGAGAAAGCCCGCGGGCAGCAACGAAGACCCAACACAGCCAAAAATACATTAAAAAAAAAAATTGGGGGGCTTCCCTGGTGGCACAGTGGTTGAGAGTCCACCTGCCGATGCAGGGGACACGGGTTCGTGCCCCGGTCCGGGAGGATCCCACGTGCCGCGGAGCGGCTGGGCCCGTGGGCCATGGCCGCTGGGCCTGAACGTCCGGAGCCTGTGCTCTGCAATGGGAGAGGCCACAGCAGTGAGAGGCCCGCGTACTGGAAAAAAAAAAAAAAAATTGGGAAGAGAGAGTGATTTAAAAAAAAATTCGTGACCTACCTTGAGATAATGTGAGCTGAGACTCACATTTCCCAAAGTGTGTTCCAAATAATTACGTATGAAATCGCATTCTCTAAAACTAGGATAGTATGCTCAAAAAAGTCTGGTGAATGCTGGGTTTAAAAAGAAGAAGAGTGTCTTTATTGAAGCCTTAACAAACCTTTAACATGTAAAAGGGGAACAAGCTTGGCCCTTTTCATTACCTTTCTTGGCACAGCATTGCTTTCAGAAGAGCTACAAAAGAATTGAAAAGCAATTTAAATCTTTATTGCAGAACTCTTGAAAAACACCACAGGGGAAATATACTACATTATGTACAGTAAAAATGCCCCTAAATCCTCATTCATTTTCCCCAAGCCTACTGATCACCTCACAGCAACTGCCCCCAAATTGTAGAGTCATCCTTTTAAATAAAGCTCCCCAAAGCTTTCTCCCAAAATGAACTCCAAGCTGATCTTGTCTCCTTTGTCCCCTCCTCCCCTCCTCCCTGCACAAATACACATTTTTAGAGAGAGGCAAAGCTCTCAGTTCTTTCTAATGTAGAAAAATTTAGCCTTTAGGAACATCTCTGGTTTTCTTCCCTAACGTCCTTGCTAATGCAAACACACGGAGACCGTTTAAGAAAGTACAAATGCAGCGGGGTGGGGGAGGTTGTGAATAATGAGGAATTCTAGCAGGTCACACGGTGCAGGTGCGGCTGAACCGAGAAGAAGGGCCAAGGGAAGGAAGATGGCGGACGTTGGAGAAAGATGGTCCATCCCTTTGCTCCAGGCCCAACCTCCAGGGCTTTCTGGAGAATTCCTAAACAATGGAAATTGCTATCTTTGATGCCCCTAGTTGGCCTACTCAAAACAGTCTGCCCAGATGGACCTCCCTCTGCTAGCTTCCAGATAATCAGTTTATGCAAAAATGGTGCAAACGAGATATGGTACAAGATGCATCGATCTCATTTCTCCCTTCTGTCTTTGACTCCTGCTTTTGTCTTCATTCTTCAGCTCAAGCCAAGCAGCTCCTTCCCATGTGAGTAAACAATCTGCCTGCAAAATAAACTAACAAATGTCTCTGAATTGTTCTTTGACAAGAAACATTATTTTTGTCTTCGTCACATAAACTATACTTCACTAAGAATATCCAAGTGGGGTATACCCTGTACTCTTTTTCTAAAGTTCTACCTTTGCCTTTTAGAGACTTTTTCATGATACACGAGAGACTTTAAATGCTGACACCCGCTCCCCCACCACTTGACAGTGTTGGTACCAGAGCTGCTGAAGACCCACAATGTTTTCGGTTGGAAACCACCAAAAAGTAGGCGACCAGCCCATTGAACATTCACCATTCACAGAATATACTCAAAACACAATTTAATTTTTTCTACCATTTCCCTTTAAATTCCCTGCCTGTTGGTAAATATTGGGGTAGGTCTAATGAATTAGGCAATAGACAGTTTTATGGCCACTTTAAGCAACACACAAAGCTTCAACATAGAAGTTAGAAGGACCCGTCCTTGATAGTAACGAAATATCTGAACGTGATGATTTCGTGTCAAATCTCCCACTTCCCAGCTCAGCCACTGCAGCCTGTCAGGTTTCAGGGGTGGAGGTGGGGCTGGTCCTTCTTCACTCCTACCCCACCCTGCTCTCTCCTCCTGAAGGTACTGGCCCAGGCAGAGCTGGGCTTGTGAGAACCCATGTCTGACAACCTCTCTCTGCAGTTACCTTTGCAGGTCCTTCCAGGTGCAGATCTTACAACGCAGACCATTCTTCTCCTCTGCCCAGATACTCCATGTCCAGCCCACGGTGCACATGCTCACCGTTGAGGGTCTCATCATCCCTTCAAGGCGGTCCTCTTGCCCCGGACCTGAAACGGCTCCAGGAGGGTCTCTTTCTTCCAGGGTCAATAGCTGGTCCATGGGGGTCACTCATACATGCTATGTCCAGGGGTGAATGGAGTATACTTACTTCCCACATGCAAGAGCTACTCACAGATGAACATCAAAGAATCTCACCAGCTTTCCCCTGACCTCCAGATTTCCTGGAGGGTAGGAGACAGGCTTCCAGCTCCTGGGCCTCCAAAACTCAGGGGATATATCTCAAGTTCTCTGAGGGGTCCCACTGAGCGCTCCCCGCAAGCAACTATGGTTCAGATGCGGGAATCGCTAACCTCTCTACACCTCTCAGGAGCAGTTTTCTCTAAAAAGTACTCATCACAACATCCTCTCTTTACATCTGCACACTTCTTGAGCCTCTAGATGAGATGCCCAGAAGTCTTGAAACTGATTATCTTCTATTTTCTTTATTAAATGGTTATTAATTAATTAATTAATATTTTTAGAAATTAAATTATTATGTGTAAATTAAATCCTCAATTTGGATTCCATTTCTATTGTGCCTTGGTTCTTTTTAGGAACTTCAGTTTCACAATCCTATTACAGTAAGACATGTCAGAGGACAAAATGCTAGCATACCCTTTCTCTAAGGAAAAAAAAGCCAGGTGTCGGACAGGTCTAGCACTATGTGATTTTTTTCTTTGATGCTGAGCTGGCCTGATTCTCTATGTTCATGTAATGTAGAAAAATAAGACCTATGTAAACGTGAAGAAAATCATGGCTCAGCGTAAAAACAAAGTTAAATTTTTTAACGACTTCTTTGAAGTTTTAAACAGTGTGTTCTAAGTTCCAATACAATTTTTGAGATAAAACATTTAAGAATAATTAATTTTTAAAATGACTTTGAGAAATAATCTAGATGTCCCAAAATAAGTTGTTTATGAAGTAAATAGATGCATTTTAGTTTTTGGAGAACCCTGCAGTAATTACAAATAATAATCTGCATCTAAGTTTATTGACTAAGAAATGTTGTTCACGCTATACTGCTAAATTTAAAAATTAATCAGTTTCTATGGTGTGATATCCTTTAATAAGTGTGTGTGTATTATGAGTGTGTGTGTGTGTTTGCTCATAAAAAAATGTATGAAAAGATATATACCGATATATTAAAAGGAGTCACTTCTGAGTGATAGGATTACAAATACTTTTCAGTTTTGTTTTACATTTTTCTACATTCTCTGCTTTTTTAATATTGGATACTTTTACTATTTGTAGTGAGAATAAAAACAAGAAAGATGTTTTTATTGAAATGAAGTATACTCTCAATGTGAGGTTTCTAAATCAACATAATTGTGCTTGAGTTTACTGTTATGAAATTCAGTAAGAGCATTTATATATTAACTATAATTTGGCTTCGATTCTGAATTAGGCAGTTTTTGCATGTGAATACATCCTTGACAATTTTTTTTAAGATATTGATGAGCCAGACCATTTGCAAATGGGTTTATTTATAGTCTCACAATTTAATAGATATTCTTTTTATTCTGTGATTGTAAACTGATTGTAGGCAAAACTTTAGCTATAAAATTAAAATTTGTAAGCATTTCCCCAAACCATAGGAAAATATCTGTAAGAATTGGGTGGCTTTAATACACATTATCTTTCAAGGTTCTTGTTAAAATAGATTGTTTATCAAAAGACATACAGATGGCCAACAAATATATGAAAAGATGCTCAACATCACTAATTATTAGAGAAATGCAAATCAAAACTAAATGAGGCATCACCTCACACCGGTCAAAATGCACATCATCAAAAAATCTACAAACAATAAATGCTGGAGAGGGTGTGGAGAAAAGGGAACCCTCTCACACTGTTGGTGGGAATGTAAATTGATACAGCCACTATGGAGAACAGTATGGAGGTTCCTTAAAAAGCTAAAAATAGGACTACCATATGACTCAATAATCCCACTCCTGGGCATATACCCAGAGAAAGCCATAATTCAAAAATATACATCACCCCAGTGTTCATTGCTGCACTATTTACAATAGCCAGGACATGGAAGCAACCTAAACGTCCATCAACAGAGGAATGGATAAAGAAGATTGGTGCATATATACAATGGAATATTAGCCATAAAATAGAACGAAATTGTGCCGTTTACAGAGACGTGAATGGACCTAGAGACTGTCATACAGAGTGAAGTAAGTCAGAAAGAGAAAAACAAATATCATATATTAACACATACATATGGAATAGGTGAACTTATTTGCAAAGCAGAAATAGAGACACAGATGTAGAGAACAAATGTATGGATACCAAGGGGAGAAGCAGGGGCGAGATGGATTGGGAGATTGGGATTGACATATACACATTACTATGTATAAAATAGATAACTACTGAGAACAGATTATACAGCACAGGGAACTCTACTCAATGCTCTGTGGTGACCTAAATGGGAAGGAAATCCAAGGAATAGGGGATATATGTATACATGTGGCTGATTCACTTTGCTGTACAGCAGAAACTAACACAACATTGTAAAGCAACTATACTCCAATAAAAAGAATAAAAATTTTTTAAAATAAATAATAAATAGAAAAAAAATAAAATGGAAACCTTTTACTTAGGAAAAAAAATCAAATAGATTGCTTATCAATATTTGATATATCATTGTGCCTACAATTTCTGCATGCTTATTTAAATACATATTTCATAGTCACTGGAATATAACTACATGCTTCACTGACATCAGTTCTTCCTGGATCCCACAAGGAGGAAATTTACCTGCTAATGCAATGCATTTGGAGAGAGAGCAGAGAGCCGCAGCCCGGCTTAACATGTGCAGTGCATTCTTACTGCGTCTTCCTTCGGTATCACAGAGCTTATGGATGTGGAGTAAGTGTGGAACAAGAATGATCTGGTATAGCATTATCTTTTAATTGGAGTTTCTATTTCTGTCACTGTTTCATTTGCTCACCATAATAGCTTAAACCATAGCAATTGGCAGAAGCATCGTTGTTGGTTTGGACTGCAGACAAAAGGACACATGCCAAGTGTTTTATTTCCAAAGAGGCTTGGGGAGGAATTCAGGATTTTGCCTAGATTTTGCTTGGGGAACGAATTAGATCCGAAAATAGCTAAGTGCACATTTAAACCAGATTCCTGAGGTGTCTTTGCGTCCAATGAGACCTGATGTGTCCTCCCAACTCTCTTCACCTATGCTACGTATTTCTAGCTAAGGTTAATATTTATAACTCGAAAGATGTATTTTCCTGAAAATAATGTATGAGGAAACTTGGAGCCCTTGTTTTTTTTGGGAGCTAATGTCCAAAAACATCAACACATTTGTACATAAAATGTGAGCAGGCAACTTTGTCCTCACATAAAAGATGGCAACATTTCTGGTAATTCCTGTATTTGGAGGCAGTTCACAAATGGAGGGAGAAATGCTGAGTTTAATTCACCTGGAGAATTGTATTTATAGCTGCTGTTCATGGGTCAACATGAGCTATTAAGGAGTACTTTCTAAGTACCCTGTCCTTTTTTATTCCAAAAGTTGAGTCCTGTCCTTACCGAGTCAATTGTGCTTGTTCCCAAACTTGTTTATCCATGTTTCTCAATTTTTAAAATCATGCAAGCTATTAAAAACTCATATAAAACAACGAAATGTGACTGAAAAGAGATTTTTAAAAATAAAACTAAGTTGAGTACTTTGGAAAATCTCAGTAAAGATGAATGACTTTAAAAATTGCTCTCAAATTAAAAGTGGCCTCAGTGTGAAACATTGGGGAGAAAATGTCAAAAGCAGAAAGATTCCACACTCAGGTTATGTCCGTCTTGTTGTTCCTGCTGTTGTCATTGTAATTTTATTCTTGTCCCTCTTTAAAGAGATCAAAAATTGGAACTGATAGGTGAATCAGGGCACGGTTTATGCAAGAAACACAAAGCGGTCCTGAGCACTGGCAACTGTTAACTGATCTGTTTGTAGGATTCTTCCTGGATCCTATGTCCAGAGATGCTGATTTAGCTGGTCTAGACCCAGTGAGATATGAGCCTCTGGATTTAAAAAATTTCCCTACCTAATTGTAACATGTAGTCAAGTTTTAGCACTAATGCACCAGAACAGGGATTCTAGAACTTCACCTGCAGATATAATCCGTGGATTATAAGTCAGTATGTCTGCAGTGGCGCGGCTCCACGTTCCGCATTTATAGTAAGCTCCTGTGTGATGTTTATGCTACTTGTCCTGAACCACACTTTGAGGGGCCCAGGATTAAAGAACGAGAAATAGAGTACCCCGTCTAGCATTGGTTCTCAGCCTTCAGTGCACCTGCAATTACCTGGACTTGTCTCACAGGGATCCCAGTTTGATTTCCAGGTGTTGTCACTGTGCACTCAAGGCCCAGAAGCACCTCTCTGGAAGACAATGTGTTAAAAAAAACAACAACAACAACTGCGCACCTGGCAAAGAACAATTTATGTTGAGGCACACTGTCTGTGAATTGCTGCTAAAATATGTTGTTTGTTTTCCTTCTTCAGGATGGTTCCACACTGCTCCATCCTCTCCCCTTCACTTATAAAGTCTGCTGATTAAGGGTCCCCTTGAATAGCCCATATCATGACACCAGGACTTGCCCTACACAGTCAATCAATTCTGTAGACTTTGAAAGCATGAACAAACCATTTGATAACAGAACCATGTGTTATTCTTACCCAGATCCTTCAAACTCAGCTCCTGGAGCTGTAGAAATAGCACATGGATTGAGACCAGATGCCGTGCTCTCCAGAAAGCTGGTTTGGTAACAGGTTTCAGCTGTGTGAACATTCAATTCCCTGGTGAGTTGGGAGGCCTGGAGTGGAGAAGAGTTGGAGGAAGATTAACCCTCTCAAGAGAGGATCTTTGGGAGTGCAAAGAGCAACTTAAATATCTAAATTCCACACCCAAAATTAGGAATGTTGAATGTGATCTCACTCTTGGAATAACTGATTTAGAGCTTATTATCAAGCTTCAAATCAGCAAAGATTTGCACAAATGTGTGATTCATTGTAGCAGATCAAGAGCAGAACTCTTTCGGACATTAAACATTTGAAAAGAATTTGTTGGACATTTATCATGGATAAGATGGTCGGCTGCTCACGGGAGAAATGCCAAAGAACTAGTGAAAAAAAATGTCAGAATAAACTATGAGTGTGTGGTAGATTGCATTTTCCAAAAATGGCCACATGGGTTTCTTCCCATATGCTCCTCTTGCATGGTGATTTGACACTCCTCTCGTGGAGAGATGGGGTCTATGTCTCTCTCCTTGACTCTGGGTAGGTTCTGTGACTACAGCAGAAGTGCTGCTGTGTTTCTTACAAGGTTAGGTCGTAAAAGGTGATATAGCTTTCAGACTTTCTCTTGGGGTACTCCTATTGGAATACAGCTGCCATGCTGTGAGGAAACTCAGAGAATCTCATGAACAGGTCCTGTGGAGGTTCTCCATCAGAGAAATGCATGAGCAGGTCCTGTGTAGGTTCCTGCCAACAGCTAGTTTCCCCATCAGACGGGTGAGTGAGGACACCCCCAGGTCATTGTAGCCCCAGCCATCCAGACACACGTCTCCTTCTATCCTCTTCAGCTAAGATCCCCAACATCCTGGCACAGATACGAGCCATCTCCACTATGCCCTGCCCAAATTTTTGGCCTGCAGAACTCACGGTGTAACAAAAGGGCTGTTTTGTGCCCTACACATTAGGGTGGTTTGTTACTCAGCAATAGATAACCAATAGAGGATGACTGAGTTTTCTATCATTTCTTATGACTATAATATCAAGCTTTCAGGGTAATTAAACCATGAAATCTGAGGCTGTCACATGTAATTTAAGGACATTAGAAATCCAGATGTATAGCTTATAGTTTCTGTAGTAAAATTAAAATGATAAGTGTGAAATAAAAGATGAAACAAATCTAAACACTAAACACTGTCTAATGCTAACCACACATCATTGAATAGACATGCAAATAATAATGGGCAAAGAAATTGTGAATACCAAACTATAATTCAAGCTCAGTATAGTATAGAACAATAAGGAAAATGCCTGGTTATTTTTTTTAATGACCTACTTAGGAATTAAAAGGCACAGTTATAGCCAAGGCTTAACTTTCAAATGACAAAATACTAATTACATTTTATTTAAGCAAAATGAAGACAGGTAGGTAAACTAATTAGAAATGAAGTTCATTTTTGTATCATTTGTTTATGAATGTAATGTTATTCTATTTATCTGTTTTCTCTTCTAATTAATATGGGAAATGGAAAAAATGAAAGGGACTTGGGAAAATTGGTTTACAGAAATATAAACATATTTCTCTCTATATATATTAGTTTCTATAAACATATTAGTTTTCTAATACATATATCAGTTTTGTGTGTGGATTTCAGCTCCTTCAAAAATTTAATGAGCTGCTAGCCTCCGAAGTTTCAGAAAACTGCAAAACTAAAGGTGGCTCACAGATATAATGAACATAAAATAACAAAACAGGCCAATCAATGACATCACTACTGTGTTGCCAGGTACCTGCCTCGTGACTGACTCTTTTCTTCTCACAGATCCAGGAGCATGGACCTCAGAGTGAACAGGCTAAAAAGGGATGCTGTGGACACTTTCTCCATCATTCACCTCTCCTTCTAAAGCTCTAGCACTGAGCAATCGCAGTTCTAAAGAGCAGTCCTGTGTACCCCCATTTATGGTTTTTTAATGTTCAATTAATATTACGGAAACAAATCCTTTCAGCAACTTCTAAATAAATTTTCTAAAATCTGCTTGTCTCAGAATTTACAAACAAAACATACAGCTTTTTGAAGACGCTAATGTTCACAGCCCTTTATGCCACTTTATCACACCTCATGTTCTCAAAGCCCCGGAGCAAAAGGAATTTTTTTTGTTTATTTACATTTCTGGGAAAGAATTTCCACTTGCTTCTGTACCTGATCATTTTTTTGCCAAAATCAAACCTAAAATTTATAGATAATACCTTTTTCTTTCATTAAAATCATGAAATATATTAAAATCCTACCTGCTAAAAAAAAGGAGGGGGAATTTCATGTGGCTCAAGACAAAAGACATTTTTCATAAAATTAATTAAATTAAAACATGAAATCAAAATAAGAATGAAGTTGAATTCCAGCTGCCAGCCAGGGGCCTCCTCTTCCAATAAGTCACCAGACAGACAATAATGTGAACCCTGATGTCCACTGCAATCACCAGTGCCAAGTGTGGTAGTAGGTACACATACCTACCATAAGAAGAAGGTGATATTTAGAACTCTTAAAATTTTTCTTTTCTTTTTTTTTTTTTACTTACAGAATTTTCCTCTCCGACAAGCTGCCTGCCTTAACGGCTTGCTTGTTGGGGATATTTATGGTACTGGAGTGAGTCTTATTTATTTATTTTTTTCTCTTAATTTTGCCTCTAATACCAGATTCCTATCTCTTTGAATCCCAATAATGTAAATTGTGGATCTGAGTAGATCTAGAGGAATGACAGGAATGAGAAACACTTCTGGGATATTCAGAAGTTGAAGCAGATTTGGTTGATGGAACATTGCCTCCAGTCTTAGCAAGTATGGAGGCTAAAACCTGGAAAAATGGCTAATGAAGGCAAGGTTTGCACCTTGTTTTCAGGAAACAAAAAAGCACCCGCTGTTTATTTCTGCTTCCCCAAATGCAGGTGTTTTGAATCTAAATACAAGGGGGCTGGCATTTCTTCCAAACAAGCTGTGCACTGCAGCTCTTAGAGTCCTAAATCCTCAACACATTTACAGGTAAGTGTCTAGCCTGGACCACACATCAAACACAGCCACTGCTGTCTTTGCTCCAGAGCCATGAGCTTGCGGGATTGTGGCTTCGCTTCTCGTGAGGCTCTGGCTGACAAATGGCAACTATTTAATGGTGTGTTGAAGAGGTGGAAGCCAATGGAAGAGGAGGTTAAAAACTAGAACTCAGCCCTTTCCTGGTAACCCAAAGAATTTCCCCAGTTGCCATTGATGCTGGTTTTTCTTGTGTGTGTGTGTGTTCATACGAATACATATACGCCTCAGCAGATTCCATATATGTTCTTATGCATGTTAATAACAGTGTTTTACTATAGACGGAGTGAGAGAGGGGGCACCGAATTTGAAGTGATGTGCTTATAAAGGATGTCTGTGATTTCCAATCCAGCGAACCACTGGGGAGTGAAGGAACTATGTGGAATTGACATTTCTCAAAAATGAAGCCCGAGAAACTACAAAGGCACACAGTTTCAGCTCTCAGAGTTCCCCGGGGGAAAGAAGGTGGTTAAGAAGGTGGCATCTGGAGTCAGATGGCTTAGGTTCAAATCCCAGCTCCATTGTGTAAGTTCTCTGTGCCTCAGTGTCCCCATCTGCAAAATGGGATTGTTTGGGTAGTCAGTGAGCTAATACCGGTAGGGTGCTGAGAACACTGCCTGGCCTCAAGCTAGAAAACAAGATATGGCAACACTGAAGGACTGGCCAGGCTACACTAGTTTTCCTTCTACATTGCTGTTCCAAGGAGGCTGTTTCTTCCATTTTTATAACAGAACTTTTAGATTTGTTTTCTGAAATGCAGCTAAGCTTTGTCCCCTTTATTCTCTTCTCACGGCCATTACCCGAGGAGCGAGGGTTTTCCTCAGGCGAAGCTGGTGCAGTAACTTCCCAGGTGGTCTCTGTCTCTGCACACCTGCCGTCCCAGAGCTTCCAGGCTGTCCCAGGTGCTGTTTGCTCAGTGCTGCTTTCACCTCACCACACGCGGTACCCCTGCCCCGCTGCACGCAGCCTAAGACCTCTGCCTGGTTTCCACACCTTCCAATCCAAACTCCTCATGCCACCCCCAGCCCCAAAGCATCCCCACGTGCAGGGCAGGCCCAGGAATACCTCCTCTTTTGCTATGTCAGTGGCCTCACCGAGGACGGGGTCCTGTAGGACCTGCATTTTCTGAAAGGAGAAAGGAAGTGTTTTCCAAACAGAGGGTGGTAGCTGTGAGAAAAGAAATAAAGGGAACCATGAATCAGATGGACTTTCTGAAGTCAAGAAATGGCGCCATTCCAAGACTCAAGGAAGAATGGAAAGCAGCTCGATACTATTAATTCCCTTTTGTCTTTACATCAGTGAGCTCTCCTCCCTCACCCAGCACCTGGGACATAAGAAACCAGTGCACATCCATGTATTGATGATGCCACAGGAAGAATCAATGTGTTGCAACCCTATGTTCTTTGAAAAAACTATAATGGTTATGAGAGGAAATAATTTTGAGCATAACTCTTAGTTTACGTGTCTTCTACTCTTTGTTCCCGTCGTGTTTTTGGTTTTTTTTTTTTTAATCTCTGCAATGGCTGAGTGTACATCCTCTGTTCACACCTGCACCTTCCTCTGGGGGGCTACGTCTCCTGATCCAGTCTGGGGTTTCAAGGAGGAGCTGCTGGTCATAGAATCCTGTCGCTCTGACTGTAGCTGAGCCAATCGGAGTCCTTCCCTGGGGTTTTTCAAAATCTCCCCCCAAAGCCTAGTCACGTCGCCTCTCACGGGCCACTGTGACACCAGTGTGTAGTGTCCAGCTGGTCCCTGCAGCCCTCCGTCTGCTCCTGTCTCCACAAGCTGTTCTGCTCTCAAGAGCCAGATGAATCTTTCCTCCAAAAGTTTACTCAAATGTCAATTGTCTTCTCAGTTCTCTCTCTTTTTTTTAGCGGTACGCAGGCCTCTCACTGTTGTGGCCTCTCCCGTTGCGGAGCACAGGCTCCGGACTCTCAGGCTCAGCGGCCATGGATCACGGGCCCAGCCGCTCCGCGGCACATGGGATCCTCCCGGACCGGGGCATGAACCCACGTCCCCTGCATTGGCAGGCGGACTCTCAACCACTGCGCCACAAGGGAAGCCCCTCAGTTCTCTTTTGACTTAGCATCCCATTCTGATGAAATTCAGAATTTTCACCACTTCCCACCGGCTCTCCCATTTCACTTCCAGCCACTCTGATCCCACCGCCACACCATTCCTTGTACACACCAGATGCACTTCCACCCCAGGGCCTTTGCAGGAATCATCTGCTCTACCTGGAACACTCTTCCCACCAAGAGTGGCTCACCCTTCCCCTCATTTAAGTTTCTACCCAAATGGCACCTTCATAGAGAGGTATTCCCCGAAGTTCCTGTACAAAATAACCCCTGCTGCCCCCCTGTCCACACTCCCTGTTTCCTGACTCTTCCTAGCCCTTAGCACTACCTGATATAGGTACTTTTGGGGTTTTGTGTATTGTCTATCTCCCCCCACTAAAATTTTTTAAAAAGTAAGTTTATTTATGTTTTATTTATTTATTTTTGGCTGTGTTGGGTCTTCGTTGCTGCGTGCGGGCTTTCTTTAGTTGCGGCAAGTGGTGGCTACTCTTCGTTGCGGTGCGCAGGCTTCTCATTGCGGTGGCTTCTCTTTGTTGGGGAGCACGGGCTGTAGGCGCGTGGGCTCCAGTAGTTGTGGCTCGTGGGCTCAGTAGTTGTGGTACACAGGATTATTTGCTGCGCGGCACATGGGATCTTCCCAGGCAAGGGATCGAACTCATGTCCCCTGCATTGGCAGGCGGATTCTTAACCACTGTGCCACCAGCGAAGTCCTTACTCCTACTAAAATTTAACCTTTACAAGTGAAGGGACTTTGTCTACTTTTGTTCCCTGCTGTCTCCCCAGCATTGAAAACAGTGTTCCACATTCTAGGTCCTCAATAATTATTATGCTGATGAATGTCTTACCGAACTATTGTTGAAAACTCCTACCCCAATGTCTTCAACCAAGTCCTAAGAGCTTTTGAAAGGCCACGTTAATAAATGTCTTATGCAATGAACGAACAAGAAAAAGATTCAGAAATAATCTTATCCAACCTCCTCTTTTAAAGATGAGGACAAGGAACCCAAGAGCGCACACCTGCTCGCTGCACAGTTGCTTTTGGCAGAAAATAAAAACCCAGGCTGAAGCCGTTTACCAACCTCACGTAGGAAGGCACCCATGCCGCATGTGAGCCCCTCCTGACTTCAGTACATCTGGGAAGCTTGGGGCAGGAAGCAGGTGCAGCCAGCTGGCTTTGTTTTCTTACAGGCCAAAGCGATATATGGCCTCCCCGGAGCGCGCTTCCAGAGAAAGGACTTGGGAAGCATAGAAGTGAAGGTCTCCCTGCCCCTTCTCCTGTCTCTCATTACCTTTGGCTGCACAAAAGGATTGAATAAGTGCCTGTCACATAAAAGACTCCCACGCCCCCGGAGCCAGAAGTGGGACAGCACAAGGGAACGCGCCCGAGGTGCTTCAGTCCCCACCCCCGGCTCCTCTCTCCCACCAGGAAGTGTCCCTGTTCCCTCCCCACCTCCGCAGGGCACATCCACACTCCCAGAAGAATGGAGCACCACAGTGATAAATGATTTCCAACTTGTTTGGTAACAGAGCTCGCAGAAGGCAGTGCCGTTCTTTTATAGAATTCCTTCCATTTCCAGGTGAGGGAACTGAAGTCTGGGAGGTTTAATGACAGGCCTCAGGATCACCCATCTAGTTACTGCACAGTGCACCCCAGGCCTCGAACTTTTCCTCTAAACTTTCCTATCAAATTATACCAATTTTGGTTTCTGGGGAAGAAGCAAATTCAACTGCATTGTTCTCATACAATACAATTCTTAAGGTGCTCATGGTAGATAATTAAACACTGCAAAGAGTTTTGAGCTAATTTACTTAATGAAATGCAACATATACGTAAAGAACATATATATGTTCTTTGTTAAAATATTTATTTATTTGGCTGCGCCAGGTCTTAGTTGCCGTGTGCAGGATCTTTGTTGCAGCATGCGGAATCCTTAGTTGTGGCACGTGAACTCTTATTTGTGGCATGTGGGATCTAGCTCCCTGACCGGGGATCGAACCTGGGCCCCCGGCCTTGGGAGCGCAGAGCCTTAACAACTGGACCACCAGGGAAGTCCCTATATGTGTTCTTTATACATAAATATATTATATAAATATATGCATATATATATGTATATACATATATATGAAGCTTCAGATACACAACAAGGCAAGTAGAATAATATAATGGACACCATGCACCCACAATCCAGCTTAAGATATAAAACATTAAAAATACCAGCAAATCCTCCTGTGTAACCCATCCAGAACATTATGGTTTTAATTTGAGTTTCCTCATTAGTAGTGAGGTTGAATGTATTTTCGTATGTTTATTGACCACTCATGTTTCCTATTCTAAGAATTGCTCATGTAATTAATTGATTTTTCTATTGGAGTATTCATCTTTGTAAGAGTTCTTTATATATTCTGGAATTGAATCCTAATCATGTATATTGATTATATTACAATCAAATACATTGATATTTTTCCCCAGATGGTGGCTTGTCTTTTTAATTTTTCATTTTGGCCTACAATGAACATAAATGTTTTGCCCTAGTATAGTTGAACTTACCACTTTTTTAAAGATTTGTGACTTTTAACTCTAGAAATCTTTCCCTACTCCAAGTCCATAAAGATATTCTTTTACAGTTTCTTTAAAAAAAACTAACGACTTGATTTTTGTTTTTAATCCAACCTGGAGTTTATATTTACATACATTAGGGAGGAAGGACTGAAATTAAATTTTCCATACAGTTACGTATCCCATCACTACTGGTTGAATATTACTGTCTTTCTCAGTACATCTGCATTGCCTACTCTGCCGTTTATCAAGTTTCCATGTGGGCGTGGACCTGCTTCTGGGTCTTCTCTTTTGTTCCACTGTGTGATCTCTTGGAGCCGTAAAGCTGAAAGCAGACATGAATTTCATTTTCCTTTAATAACACAAAATTCGTGAAGCTGGGTGATGGGCCCGCAGGACCTCATTATACCATCTCCTCTACTTTTGTGTATGCTTGTTAGTTTCCATAAGAAAGAGCTGCGCAAGTACTGGATCTTGGACCCTAGCGGAATACAGACGGCATCATTGAATGCAGGTGCTCATGGGCCATGCTATTAGGGCACCAGATCTTTGCTGTTCAGTCCTTCTCTGGGAAGTGCCCTTCTCATACAGCACCTATTCTCCTGGTTAATGGCACTCACCCACTGGAAGCATTTGCTGACCACTCCAGGCTGAACTGTTTGGGGTGGGGGGGCCTTTGTCCATGCCGTGCTCCAGCAAGACTCTTACCCCAGCTGTCTGGGGCCTTGCCTTTCCTGTCTAAGCGTGCCGCTACACTGAGCTCCCTGAGAGCAGGAACCGTATCATATTTATTTCTGTTTCCCTACAACAGAGCAAATTGCAGATATCGGATGCTTATTGATTACTCAGTGAATGAGCAAATGAATGTTCAAATATTCTTTTAGGACTAATGATAAGCAATAGGAAAGAAATGGGGAGACATGCAGGTTTCTGACTCATATATTTGGCCTTTAGGGTGTAATCAGTGCTGGGATGATTCCAAATGCTGAGACCCAGACTCCATCAGCAGAAGGACTGGGAAAAACTCATCCTAAAAAGCAGGAGGTGTCTGCAAGCATCAGCAGAATGTGTGACCTAATGCCCATGGAAGAATCTTGGAAACATAAAATCCCTATATGCTCCTACACAAAGTGGTGTGACTGTTATTATCAGCAGATTCTGGTAACTCGTACTATTCCTGAGTATCTCTTGCGCTTCTGGAACAGTGTTTTTTTTTAGGAATTCAAGCTGCATGTGAAAAATCATCAAGATTATTTTCTAAAATAGCTAAGAAAAAGTACAAGATCTATCAACCAGGCAGACAGCACAAGTCATCAAAGAGCTCAAAGGTAATATGACCTGCCCTGCCTCAATGACAATTTGAAATGCACGTAGGAGAAATTAAAATCTTTACCGGCAGAACTGTTTCATTGTCAAAGCAGAGCAATCGTGTCTGTTTCGAGTGGTGCAATGCTTTCTTTTTGTTTCCAGGATCAAACACAAGTGTTTTCATGCGGCCGCTCAGACTTGTTTTCACCGACAGAGGAAAAAGCCTCCACTGGATAAGACACTCTTACCACTTCCCATCACAGAGTAAACCCTTTACTTTTCTTTGGTGTTTCTTTGACTTCTCCAGAGGAGTAGCAGGAAGCTGTTTCTAACAGAATAAAGGGGACAACCTACGATGTTAATAATTAAATACCAGAAAGTAATGGTTGTCTTTGGTTTAGAATCTGGAGCCCAGGGAGATAGATGAAGGGACTGGATCCAGGATCACAAGGTAGTCAGTGAGTTGCAAGATTTCCTGACTTCAGATCCAGTGATCTCTCCCCTCCCCGCTGGATTTGTTTGTAATTAATCTGCGTTACAACCCACTTAGGATGAATCAAGCAGATAATATGTGATGCCCTTTTGGAAACAGAAAAAATCTTGGACAGTTTGGT